AAAACGAGCAAGAACCAGACGAAGTGCAGTGAACACCAGAAACCTCCGCAGTCTTGGCCGTCAAGTCAACGTCACAAGAGAAGACATCTTGTTTATCTGGTATGTTGTGAGTCGCGTAAGTTTGAAATACCCCCCTGTTAGGTACCCCCCTCGTTGAATAGATAAGAATAGGCAAATTTCCAAAATCGGTTTTTATAACTCCGTTCTAAACTTTTGTTTATGTTAATAAATGTCCTTAACTTGGTTATATCTGACTCTGCATTCTTCCTCCTGAGAGGCTCATTCCTGGACTTCAGAGTGACTCTTTCCCTCGTGCCTTAATCATCCATTTTATCTCAAACGGTGGTGTGTCCGATAAAACACACCTGGTGGCAGGACTCTACCTAAAAAAGTATGTAATAAACCTTTTACGGCCCCCGAACCCCACACATTGAAGAAAATTCAACACGAAGTTGGTTAATAGCAATATACTAATTACATGGGATATCCTAATATACTATACTAATAATGTATTTTTTTCATTATTTTTGGTTATCCGATTTTTTCAGTTATCTAACCAACCTGAGTCCCCAATTGAGTCGGATAATCGATGCTCTACTGTATTCCAAAGAATTGTAGATGTCATTCTATTTTTAGAAAGTAATAATCTGTCATTTCAAGGATCCCATGAAGCAATAGGAGCACAGAATAATTGAAATTTTTTAACTTTAATAGAATTATTAAGTAAATATGACCCTGTGCTAATGGATCATGTGAACAGAATTAAAAATACGAAAAAAGAATTGAAACATATATTGAACTAGAAAACAACTCAAGGGATTTTTGTAAAATCTTATAGTAAGGATATAACTGAAGACTTAATCCAGGAAATTGATTTGTTACAAGAATTGATCTTGAACCAAAAAGATGTAAATAATGTGCAAGATATGTTGCAATACATATTAAATAATAATTATAATGAACCATTTCCAAATGGGCTAACTACTAAAAATTTTTTTTACTTTACCATAAATTTGTTATCAGTATATTTTACTGTTTCGGTTAGGTTATTCTGCTTCTTATATGGCTTGTTAGCTTAGTTTCTGTATTAATTTTAGTATTAGTTTGAAGCCTTTAGTTTTAATCCTTAATTAATTTAAACATTACTTTGTCTATCTGTGTAGCTGCACTGCTTATTTGTGTATGCTACAGCTTAGCTTTTCTTATAGACCTATGGTCTTCCAGCCTAAAAACCGCAAGCCAACATTAAATCTAGAGCAGTGGTTCCCAATTAGTTTTTCCTGTGTACCACTTATAGCAGAAATTCATATTAATGCATACTAATATTATAAATTCAAAGGTAATTCTGTCTGTCTGTTACCTTTTCATGTCTAAGGGCTGTTTCACACTGACTGACTGGTCTGACTCCAAGTCGTGTTTCCATGACAATAGCAGTCAGTCGACATACTGGTTGATCCAGTTGGACAGAGTTAAAAAGTTAAATATTTGTAGTCAGGTTGGAGCAGTCAGTGAGCTACAGCCAATGAGAGCTTCAAAACTACAGCCAATTATTTGGATATATGAAAACTATCAAATCAATCAAACATGACTTTACATTATATATGTTTCTAATTTATTTAAATTTTCCCTTGTACCTTATTTCTTTTATAACTGCTTAAATTTTATATGGGAACATAAATGACTAATATATATATATTAAAAAACATTATCGACGCAATGAGAAAATATGGTATTATTTAGATTTTTTGGAAGAATTTATAAACAAAGTAAGATAATTTCTGCAAAGTTTAACCAAGTAGATTACAAAAATATTTTTAAAAGTTAGAAAAACTTAAAATGATTTCTAACACTCGTTCCGATTGATTCTTACGAATCGGCCACCGACATATAATCGTACTCAATGTGAATGCTTTTGTTACTAGTCGGTCCGATTATAGGATTGGCTGGGTCAAACCAATTGGTCCAATCAGTCATAGTGTGAAACATCCCTAAACTGCTAAACAGGTTTTAATAAAATTTGGCACAGAGATAGCTTACATGTTGGAGATGGACATAGGCTACATTTTACTGCGAGAAAATATCTTACTCCCACGAGAAAATTCGATATAATGCAGTCAAAGCTGTGGGTAGACAGCTAGTGATAAATAGAATAAGTTTTTTTACATTTATTACCTTTAAAATATAATTTTAATAATAATGAAAATAACATAAGGTTATTTAATTTTAATGTGACAAATGTGCATGATTTTCTTTGCACAACTTTGTAAAATCTGGTTGCTTTTTGGTCAGTCTCAGGTCATCTTCGAGTTGTGCAAAGAACTCGAAGATGACTTGGGACTAACTAAGAGCAGATTTTCGGCCATGACAAACATGAAAACTAAGAGGTATGTTGAGCAAAGTGGAAGTAAATATTTTATTGCTGCTTCGCTGACATGATGATAATGATAATGATAATTGTATAATTAACACACATTGTATTAATTGTACAGTTTTTGTTTCTTGCATAAGAATTTCATTTAGGTATTGTTGCAAATTCATTTTTTTGATGAAATTCCTAAATGTATTTAGTTATAAATAAACAAATTTGTGCATTTGACATCATTGTAAATTGCTGAATTTTTGATGGTCCACCCATTATTCTTTTGATTGCTTCATATCATGCATTTAAATTTTAAATTGACCGATTTTAGATTGCCGCATGTACCCCTTCATGCAATTTCGCATACCCCAGGGGTATGTGTACCACTAATTGGGAACCTTAGGGAATAGTAACCTTATGTACATTGCTCAGAGGGATCCTTTTTTCTCTTCTAACTCCTCATCCTCTTCCTTCCCCTCTCCCCCTTCTGCCAGTTAAACACTGTGTACAGCCATTGTCTTTTGTTAAGTAAGTATGCTTCTGTATTGATTGATTTGTCTTGTGGCATGAATTCTATTAACAGCATTCCCTGACAGTCCCAGAAAACACTGTACATAATTTTTTCAGAGTTTGCCTGAATTTTCTGGCTTTGAGGAACCACTATGCTACCACTGCAGTGATTGTTATTTGCATTCTGGTGTTGTGTGGCAAATCCACATTTCAATTTCATCACCAGTGACAATTCTTTTCAAAAATCCATTTCCTTCCCCTTCATAACACTGCAAAAATTCCAAGACTGATCCCATGCATTTTGTTTTGTGAATGTCTGTTAGCATTTTTGGCACCTATCTTGAATACAACTTTTTGAAATGCAAATGTTTAGTCACAGTTTCATTCAGCAAAGATCTTGAAATGTCAGAAATTGCAGAGACAAATCAGAAAGTGTAAACCATCTATCATAATGAAGTTTCTCTTTAACATTGTGCAGCAAGTCTTCATTGACTAAGGATCGGTGACCACTATGCTCCTCATGAATGTTGTTTCTTTCTTCATTAAACATATTAACTCACTTTCTTACCATACCTTCACTTATCACATTTAGTCCACAAATTTGCTGTAAATTTTGTATGGTCAGACATTTCTCACATTCAAAAACCTAATTACTGATTGTATTTCACAACTGGCAGGCCACTCAATTGTTTTGAACATTATAACTGATGCTTAGTGATCCTCAACATGAACAAGAAAAAACAAATATAGCTTGGTTACTTTATTCTTGATTGGAAGAAGTAACTATGCATGCATGACCTTGACATTGCCAAAATACACAGGAGATATACATAAATGGTACTTGCTTTTGGATGTGCCTTATATATATTTATCATATTAAACAATTACATACTATATGATTAGACTAATTTATTTAACATGCAAGTAGACTGAGTTAATAGATTGAAATTAAAAACACACTAATCTTTGAGATTCTTCCAGCAGACAAAAATCCAGAAATATGAACACTTTTGGTCTACTTCTAAAGCCTGTTACAGGTTACAATTTTCAGAAATTGAATACCACAGGTTTTAATATTCAAAAATAGAATGTGCAGAAGAATTCTAGATAAATTCAAATTTAAAACCAAAGAAAATTTAACCTGAATCAGATCTTAGGAATAGACTGAAAAAGTTCATTTTTCTGGATTTTCATTTGCTGGAATAATCTCAAGGTTAGAGTGTTTTTAATTTTATATTATTGCCTAGTTTTGTTGAGGATTGAATTTGTTAAATGATGATTACTCAATTTAATTTATTGATTCTAAGCATAAAATTTTGTTTAGTTATAACAATTATAAATGTATTAAAATATATAAATTATTGATAAATATTCTTTTCAAAATTAAATTATATTGAAGGGTAATCACTATATTTTATGATATTTTCACTTAATCTGATACAAAAAACTTTTTTTTCAGAAAAAGAAAATAAAGCAGTTCTATAGATAACAAGTGATTGTATTATGAAAAGAACACTCATGCTTTCTATAAAGAATCTAGAAAATTTTATTCAAGAGATAACTGTACCTAATGAACAAATGGTAGATGATGAGTTAAAAAGTAAAGATTTTTCAGACTCTGAATATAATATGGAACATTTTGTATCTTTCTTAGAATTGAATTCTTCTGTAATGAATAGTGACTATGTAAACTATAATAATGATAACGGTGAAGTTTTAAAAATATCTGAAATGAAATCATCAGATAATTTGAATTTTTCATATGTTCATAATGAGAATAAAATATTAAAAATTTCAAATAAAAGAATAAGTGATACACCAGTCTTCAAAAATGGAATTAATTATACTACCAGCAGAACTGATCTAAAAATAAAAGGAGATTCACAAATAAATACAATATATGATGAAAATGTTTCATTAAGTGATGATAATTTTAATGGTGTAAGCAAGATAGTGAAAAAGACAAATAATTCAGAAAAATCTGAAAAAATAACAAACTGTAAAAAATCAGTTTTGAAGAAATCTGATTTTATTTCCAGTGCCAATAATTCTGAATTTAAACATTTACATACAAAATCTTACCAAAAGAAATCAACAGTGAAACCATATAAACATATCAAAGAAAATCATAAAGCAGAAGAAACAAAGCATACATTTAAAATCAGATCTTTTTGTAAGAAGAATAATTTTCACCAGTCTAAAATAAATGATGAGAAAGAAAACATGAAAAATAATTATGAAGAAATTAAATTATCAAATATTATTATTGAATCTGTTTTAGAAAATAAGTCTTTGATTCAGAAAACAGAAAATAATACATCAACAATAAGTACAGTTAGTGGTAGCAATTATGAAGATCCAATTGTAATTGATTCAGACTCCAATAATGATGAATTATTAGTGTTACCCACTGATTTAATTGAAACTTCAGTTGATGATAAAAGTAATGTAAGTATTTTTTTAAATTAAACTAATAAAAATTTTTATGGAAATAAAAAACCAGCAATTGTTTATTGTCATATCGTCACAATGCTGGGCTGCAAGTTTTAATCTCATTTTTAATTTATTTAAGTTAAAATATATACATGTATCCCTTGCTTAATGCAGTTTTGCTTAACATGAAATTTGATTAACGTGAAAATTTAATTGCTGCAATCCCTTTATAGTAGTTTTAATTAATGCAACTTTAACAGTTGTCTTTACTTAACATATTTTGTGCTGGGGATGATTTCTGATATAGATACATATTTTAATTATGATAGTTGTAAAATTTAAGACATTACTGCTAATGTGATTATTGTAATAAGCTTTCTTTAGAAGCTTATTTTAAAGCTTCACATTTTGTTTGCATAAAATCAAATTGAAGTGTCTGCAGATAAAATGCATATCAGGCATATTATGTATGTTTTTTAAGTTTCATAAAGGATATAATGATACACAAACAATAAAAAATACTCAGTGTGTATGAGTCAGATGCTCCTAAATGTTGGGCATGTCAAATGTGGTTTTGAAAGTTTCATTCAAGAAATTTTGAACTAAAGGATACAAAACACAAAGGGCACCCAAAAACTGTTGACAAAGAGAAATTTCAAAAAGAAATTGTTAAAAATTGGCAAATCTCAACTCACAAACTTGCAAACAATCTGTGTATGTGATGCATGATGATTGTGTTCTGTATGCATTATGTGAGAAAAATAAACTGGATTGAGTATAATTTTGTTTGACAAAGGTAGGCAGCTCTAAAGTTTCATTTCATTTTTAAATTAGTTACTCATTTTTTATCATAAAAACCTTTTTTTCGTGGATGACAAAATTAAAATATTTTGTTATTAATTAACCAAAACTTTGTTCTAATTGGTTGTGATTGTTTAGTTGAATACTGATGTACCACTATATTTGATTAATGCAATTTTGATATACATAGTAGCATTGAGGGATCAATTAATCATATTAATCAAGGAATACATATATTCTTGATTTTAGTAGTTTCTTGCCACTGTATATCATACTTTTCCTGTTAATAATAGAGTTATGCCAGTCATCTATCTAACTCTGTTCTGGAGAAAAGTTTTGAACTGAAATAATATGGCTTCTAGTTCAAACTGAAAGCTCATATATAGTTAATAGTTATGTGCCGGATATCCGAGGGAAAAAAAAGATCCAGATCCATATTCGTTACTTTTTAGCGGATCTTTAACGGATCTTTTATCTTAATGAATTTCATTACTTATATAAAATTTTAAAGATAGGTAGCAATAAAATACTAATAACTTCAATTCAAATCACTTTTTATTTCTTAAAATCACATATTTGGCACATTCATATTGCAAAAATTTTATAATGCAAAATTCATTTACTATCATAAAATATTTCCATATTACACTACTAAACTTTTTTGTCGACATTGTTTTTATTGTAATTTAACTTAACACTCTCCAAAGATACAAATGTAATCTATGCTATCCCGTGTCACACTTAAACTATAAACAAAAACACGTGAAGTGCAAGTCAAAACATGTCGTGTTACTAATGCAAAGTGTCAACTATCGGTCTAAGGTCACAAGCACCGGCGCCAACTGAGTACAAAAGTTGAGATCCGTATCCGCGGATCTAGACACTAATGATTCGTATCTGTATCCGTATCCGCGGATCTAGACACTAATGATTCGTATNGTATTATGTATTCACATGAACCTTAATTGTATCTTGGATAACAACCGAAGTTGTACGAGGAAATTCGCCTATTTTACCAATCTAGGGACCCCCCTTTTTAATATCAAGTAGTTAGAATAAAACGGTTTATCATTCAAAATCTCACAACATGCCAAAGAAAAGAGGAAAAAGCAACCAAATAATCCAAAATTATATAGAAATGAGGAACTTTGTTCTCGGCAATGTTTACATGAAGAACTTAGTCAAAGCAAGCAATGAACAAACAATGACTAAGAACAAAGATGAGTCATGTCGACTCAGAAGATGACTCTAAGAAAGCTGCAAGTCATCCCCAAATAAGAAAACACTGTCCCAGCTACAACGATGACACTACCAATGAGTCATCACCCGATGATGACTTTCTCATGCTGAAAGGGTTTAAAAGGAAAGCCCCAACAAGAGAAAGGACAGTCCTGTTTGGCAGTTCAGTCAGAGATGGGGACACAGTAAGTTAGAGAGAGTTCAGTCAGAGAGGAGGACATCGTCCAGTCAGAAAGGAGAGACAGCTCCAGTTAGAGACAGTTCAGTCAGAAAAAGGCAGTCAGAGTGAGGACACAGTCCCGTTAGAAAGACAGTTAGAAGGAGACAGCGAAATAGTCAGCAATTGTGGACACAGCTCCAACCCGAGAAAGAGTGGCTCAAGAGAAGACAACTCAAAAACGAGCAAGAACCAGACGAAGTGCAGTGAACACCAGAAACCTCCGCAGTCTTGGCCGTCAAGTCAACGTCACAAGAGAAGACATCTTGTTTATCTGGTATGTTGTGAGTCGCGTAAGTTCGAAATACCCCCCTGTTAGGTACCCCCTCGTTGAATAGATAAGAATAGGCAAATTTCCAAAATCGGTTTTTATAACTCTGTTCTAAACTTTTGTTTATGTTAATAAATGTCCTTAAATTGGTTATATCTGACTCTGCATTCTTCCTCCTGAGAGGCTCATTCCTGGACTTCAGAGTGACTCTTTCCCTCGTGCCTTAATCATCCATTTTATCTCAAACGGTGGTGTGTCCGATAAAACACACCTGGTGGCAGGACTCTACCTAAAAAAGTATGTAATAAACCTTTTACGGCCCCCGAACCCCACACATTGAAGAAAATTCAACACGAAGTTGGTTAATAGCAATATACTAATTACATGGGATATCCTAATATACTATACTAATAATGTATTTTTTTCATTATTTTTGGTTATCCGATTTTTTCAGTTATCTAACCAACCTGAGTCCCCAATTGAGTCGGATAATCGATGCTCTACTGTATTCCAAAGAATTGTAGATGTCATTCTATTTTTAGAAAGTAATAATCTGTCATTTCAAGGATCCCATGAAGCAATAGGAGCACAGAATAATTGAAATTTTTTAACTTTAATAGAATTATTAAGTAAATATGACCCTGTGCTAATGGATCATGTGAACAGAATTAAAAATACGAAAAAAGAATTGAAACATATATTGAACTAGAAAACAACTCAAGGGATTTTTGTAAAATCTTATAGTAAGGATATAACTGAAGACTTAATCCAGGAAATTGATTTGTTACAAGAATTGATCTTGAACCAAAAAGATGTAAATAATGTGCAAGATATGTTGCAATACATATTAAATAATAATTATAATGAACCATTTCCAAATGGGCTAACTACTAAAAATTTTTTTTACTTTACCATAAATTTGTTATCAGTATATTTTACTGTTTCGGTTAGGTTATTCTGCTTCTTATATGGCTTGTTAGCTTAGTTTCTGTATTAATTTTAGTATTAGTTTGAAGCCTTTAGTTTTAATCCTTAATTAATTTAAACATTACTTTGTCTATCTGTGTAGCTGCACTGCTTATTTGTGTATGCTACAGCTTAGCTTTTCTTATAGACCTATGGTCTTCCAGCCTAAAAACCGCAAGCCAACATTAAATCTAGAGCAGTGGTTCCCAATTAGTTTTTCCTGTGTACCACTTATAGCAGAAATTCATATTAATGCATACTAATATTATAAATTCAAAGGTAATTCTGTCTGTCTGTTACCTTTTCATGTCTAAGGGCTGTTTCACACTGACTGACTGGTCTGACTCCAAGTCGTGTTTCCATGACAATAGCAGTCAGTCGACATACTGGTTGATCCAGTTGGACAGAGTTAAAAAGTTAAATATTTGTAGTCAGGTTGGAGCAGTCAGTGAGCTACAGCCAATGAGAGCTTCAAAACTACAGCCAATTATTTGGATATATGAAAACTATCAAATCAATCAAACATGACTTTACATTATATATGTTTCTAATTTATTTAAATTTTCCCTTGTACCTTATTTCTTTTATAACTGCTTAAATTTTATATGGGAACATAAATGACTAATATATATATATTAAAAAACATTATCGACGCAATGAGAAAATATGGTATTATTTAGATTTTTTGGAAGAATTTATAAACAAAGTAAGATAATTTCTGCAAAGTTTAACCAAGTAGATTACAAAAATATTTTTAAAAGTTAGAAAAACTTAAAATGATTTCTAACACTCGTTCCGATTGATTCTTACGAATCGGCCACCGACATATAATCGTACTCAATGTGAATGCTTTTGTTACTAGTCGGTCCGATTATAGGATTGGCTGGGTCAAACCAATTGGTCCAATCAGTCATAGTGTGAAACATCCCTAAACTGCTAAACAGGTTTTAATAAAATTTGGCACAGAGATAGCTTACATGTTGGAGATGGACATAGGCTACATTTTACTGCGAGAAAATATCTTACTCCCACGAGAAAATTCGATATAATGCAGTCAAAGCTGTGGGTAGACAGCTAGTGATAAATAGAATAAGTTTTTTTACATTTATTACCTTTAAAATATAATTTTAATAATAATGAAAATAACATAAGGTTATTTAATTTTAATGTGACAAATGTGCATGATTTTCTTTGCACAACTTTGTAAAATCTGGTTGCTTTTTGGTCAGTCTCAGGTCATCTTCGAGTTGTGCAAAGAACTCGAAGATGACTTGGGACTAACTAAGAGCAGATTTTCGGCCATGACAAACATGAAAACTAAGAGGTATGTTGAGCAAAGTGGAAGTAAATATTTTATTGCTGCTTCGCTGACATGATGATAATGATAATGATAATTGTATAATTAACACACATTGTATTAATTGTACAGTTTTTGTTTCTTGCATAAGAATTTCATTTAGGTATTGTTGCAAATTCATTTTTTTGATGAAATTCCTAAATGTATTTAGTTATAAATAAACAAATTTGTGCATTTGACATCATTGTAAATTGCTGAATTTTTGATGGTCCACCCATTATTCTTTTGATTGCTTCATATCATGCATTTAAATTTTAAATTGACCGATTTTAGATTGCCGCATGTACCCCTTCATGCAATTTCGCATACCCCAGGGGTATGTGTACCACTAATTGGGAACCTTAGGGAATAGTAACCTTATGTACATTGCTCAGAGGGATCCTTTTTTCTCTTCTAACTCCTCATCCTCTTCCTTCCCCTCTCCCCCTTCTGCCAGTTAAACACTGTGTACAGCCATTGTCTTTTGTTAAGTAAGTATGCTTCTGTATTGATTGATTTGTCTTGTGGCATGAATTCTATTAACAGCATTCCCTGACAGTCCCAGAAAACACTGTACATAATTTTTTCAGAGTTTGCCTGAATTTTCTGGCTTTGAGGAACCACTATGCTACCACTGCAGTGATTGTTATTTGCATTCTGGTGTTGTGTGGCAAATCCACATTTCAATTTCATCACCAGTGACAATTCTTTTCAAAAATCCATTTCCTTCCCCTTCATAACACTGCAAAAATTCCAAGACTGATCCCATGCATTTTGTTTTGTGAATGTCTGTTAGCATTTTTGGCACCTATCTTGAATACAACTTTTTGAAATGCAAATGTTTAGTCACAGTTTCATTCAGCAAAGATCTTGAAATGTCAGAAATTGCAGAGACAAATCAGAAAGTGTAAACCATCTATCATAATGAAGTTTCTCTTTAACATTGTGCAGCAAGTCTTCATTGACTAAGGATCGGTGACCACTATGCTCCTCATGAATGTTGTTTCTTTCTTCATTAAACATATTAACTCACTTTCTTACCATACCTTCACTTATCACATTTAGTCCACAAATTTGCTGTAAATTTTGTATGGTCAGACATTTCTCACATTCAAAAACCTAATTACTGATTGTATTTCACAACTGGCAGGCCACTCAATTGTTTTGAACATTATAACTGATGCTTAGTGATCCTCAACATGAACAAGAAAAAACAAATATAGCTTGGTTACTTTATTCTTGATTGGAAGAAGTAACTATGCATGCATGACCTTGACATTGCCAAAATACACAGGAGATATACATAAATGGTACTTGCTTTTGGATGTGCCTTATATATATTTATCATATTAAACAATTACATACTATATGATTAGACTAATTTATTTAACATGCAAGTAGACTGAGTTAATAGATTGAAATTAAAAACACACTAATCTTTGAGATTCTTCCAGCAGACAAAAATCCAGAAATATGAACACTTTTGGTCTACTTCTAAAGCCTGTTACAGGTTACAATTTTCAGAAATTGAATACCACAGGTTTTAATATTCAAAAATAGAATGTGCAGAAGAATTCTAGATAAATTCAAATTTAAAACCAAAGAAAATTTAACCTGAATCAGATCTTAGGAATAGACTGAAAAAGTTCATTTTTCTGGATTTTCATTTGCTGGAATAATCTCAAGGTTAGAGTGTTTTTAATTTTATATTATTGCCTAGTTTTGTTGAGGATTGAATTTGTTAAATGATGATTACTCAATTTAATTTATTGATTCTAAGCATAAAATTTTGTTTAGTTATAACAATTATAAATGTATTAAAATATATAAATTATTGATAAATATTCTTTTCAAAATTAAATTATATTGAAGGGTAATCACTATATTTTATGATATTTTCACTTAATCTGATACAAAAAACTTTTTTTTCAGAAAAAGAAAATAAAGCAGTTCTATAGATAACAAGTGATTGTATTATGAAAAGAACACTCATGCTTTCTATAAAGAATCTAGAAAATTTTATTCAAGAGATAACTGTACCTAATGAACAAATGGTAGATGATGAGTTAAAAAGTAAAGATTTTTCAGACTCTGAATATAATATGGAACATTTTGTATCTTTCTTAGAATTGAATTCTTCTGTAATGAATAGTGACTATGTAAACTATAATAATGATAACGGTGAAGTTTTAAAAATATCTGAAATGAAATCATCAGATAATTTGAATTTTTCATATGTTCATAATGAGAATAAAATATTAAAAATTTCAAATAAAAGAATAAGTGATACACCAGTCTTCAAAAATGGAATTAATTATACTACCAGCAGAACTGATCTAAAAATAAAAGGAGATTCACAAATAAATACAATATATGATGAAAATGTTTCATTAAGTGATGATAATTTTAATGGTGTAAGCAAGATAGTGAAAAAGACAAATAATTCAGAAAAATCTGAAAAAATAACAAACTGTAAAAAATCAGTTTTGAAGAAATCTGATTTTATTTCCAGTGCCAATAATTCTGAATTTAAACATTTACATACAAAATCTTACCAAAAGAAATCAACAGTGAAACCATATAAACATATCAAAGAAAATCATAAAGCAGAAGAAACAAAGCATACATTTAAAATCAGATCTTTTTGTAAGAAGAATAATTTTCACCAGTCTAAAATAAATGATGAGAAAGAAAACATGAAAAATAATTATGAAGAAATTAAATTATCAAATATTATTATTGAATCTGTTTTAGAAAATAAGTCTTTGATTCAGAAAACAGAAAATAATACATCAACAATAAGTACAGTTAGTGGTAGCAATTATGAAGATCCAATTGTAATTGATTCAGACTCCAATAATGATGAATTATTAGTGTTACCCACTGATTTAATTGAAACTTCAGTTGATGATAAAAGTAATGTAAGTATTTTTTTAAATTAAACTAATAAAAATTTTTATGGAAATAAAAAACCAGCAATTGTTTATTGTCATATCGTCACAATGCTGGGCTGCAAGTTTTAATCTCATTTTTAATTTATTTAAGTTAAAATATATACATGTATCCCTTGCTTAATGCAGTTTTGCTTAACATGAAATTTGATTAACGTGAAAATTTAATTGCTGCAATCCCTTTATAGTAGTTTTAATTAATGCAACTTTAACAGTTGTCTTTACTTAACATATTTTGTGCTGGGGATGATTTCTGATATAGATATATATTTTAATTATGATAGTTGTAAAATTTAAGACATTACTGCTAATGTGATTATTGTAATAAGCTTTCTTTAGAAGCTTATTTTAAAGCTTCACATTTTGTTTGCATAAAATCAAATTGAAGTGTCTGCAGATAAAATGCATATCAGGCATATTATGTATGTTTTTTAAGTTTCATAAAGGATATAATGATACACAAACAATAAAAAATACTCAGTGTGTATGAGTCAGATGCTCCTAAATGTTGGGCATGTCAAATGTGGTTTTGAAAGTTTCATTCAAGAAATTTTGAACTAAAGGATACAAAACACAAAGGGCACCCAAAAACTGTTGACAAAGAGAAATTTCAAAAAGAAATTGTTAAAAATTGGCAAATCTCAACTCACAAACTTGCAAACAATCTGTGTATGTGATGCATGATGATTGTGTTCTGTATGCATTATGTGAGAAAAATAAACTGGATTGAGTATAATTTTGTTTGACAAAGGTAGGCAGCTCTAAAGTTTCATTTCATTTTTAAATTAGTTACTCATTTTTTATCATAAAAACCTTTTTTTCGTGGATGACAAAATTAAAATATTTTGTTATTAATTAACCAAAACTTTGTTCTAATTGGTTGTGATTGTTTAGTTGAATACTGATGTACCACTATATTTGATTAATGCAATTTTGATATACATAGTAGCATTGAGGGATCAATTAATCATATTAATCAAGGAATACATATATTCTTGATTTTAGTAGTTTCTTGCCACTGTATATCATACTTTTCCTGTTAATAATAGAGTTATGCCAGTCATCTATCTAACTCTGTTCTGGAGAAAAGTTTTGAACTGAAATAATATGGCTTCTAGTTCAAACTGAAAGCTCATATATAGTTAATAGTTATGTGCCGGATATCCGAGGGAAAAAAAAGATCCAGATCCATATTCGTTACTTTTTAGCGGATCTTTAACGGATCTTTTATCTTAATGAATTTCATTACTTATATAAAATTTTAAAGATAGGTAGCAATAAAATACTAATAACTTCAATTCAAATCACTTTTTATTTCTTAAAATCACATATTTGGCACATTCATATTGCAAAAATTTTATAATGCAAAATTCATTTACTATCATAAAATATTTCCATATTACACTACTAAACTTTTTTGTCGACATTGTTTTTATTGTAATTTAACTTAACACTCTCCAAAGATACAAATGTAATCTATGCTATCCCGTGTCACACTTAAACTATAAACAAAAACACGTGAAGTGCAAGTCAAAACATGTCGTGTTACTAATGCAAAGTGTCAACTATCGGTCTAAGGTCACAAGCACCGGCGCCAACTGAGTACGAAAGTTGAGATCCGTATCCGCGGATCTAGACACTAATGATTCGTATCTGTATCCGTATCCGCGGATCTAGACACTGATGATCCGTATCTGTATCCATATCCATGGATATACATTTTCAACGATCCGGCACATAACTAATAGTTAATCAGGGCCTCCTGCCCCTAAGCTTTTTATATCTGGTCTCAACTTTCATCTGACTAACTCTTTCTTGAGATTAATGAAGGACAGGCAGATGGTTGCCAGTGAAAATTTATAGGTCTGAAATTTCCAAATTGCAGACCTATAAATTTAATTTAATAAATGCAATTTGGAAATTGTAGACCTATAAATTTAATTTAATAAATGCAATTTGGAAATTGCAGACCTATGAATATTGCAGTTTGGCAGCAGGATAGGAAATGTACACTGCTGCTATTAGAATAGATGATTGTATTAGATTTACTCTTAGTTTATTAGATGAAATATATGAATCTTGCTTTTAGCTAATAACACAAGACCTTATGCACTTTTCCTGCAAAGTGCTGAAAGTGTGTAAGGTGTAGTGTGATTAGTATATTTGTTTCCAGTTTTTCTATAAGTGTTTGCTTTTAACATGGTTGTTTATGTTTATCAGATTTTATAAAAGCTAGAAAAGAAATAATTGTGCAACATTATGGATGGCTTTTCTGATTATGAAAGCAAAAAACACAATAGGATTGATTGTTTAATGAAGAGTTTTATTTGAGAAAGTACTTTGTAGCCACTGTAGTTTATGGTAATTATATTCAGAAAAAATTCAACAGCAACATTTTGAGAGAAAGCTTTACTTTTAAACTAGAAAAACAAGCAGAAAGTGGCATAATGGAACACCATTTATACAAGGTCTGATTAAAAGTGTCCAACTTTATTTTGTTTTTTTTTGCAAATATTTGCAAGCATTGTGTGACCCTGGACCCAACTGCATGTGTGAATTTTGGTGAGCTCATCCTACCCTACAGTCATTGTTAGCCATGATAATTGCATGTTTTTTGTTAGTCTATCTCCAGGCTCCATTGTTATGGGCAATTGCTTTGGAAATAGGAAGAATTGGTTTCTTTGTTACTGCTATTAAAAAAAGGCACACGATAAGAAGTTAAAACAGTATTTTTGTCATCAGACCCAGTTTATATTTTTTCTATTGAATTTTGTCTTGAAAGCACTTCTAGCTCTCTCTGAAAATATTTAACTGGTGTTCTGTTCTTTATGCTTAGTTTCTAAATGCTGGCAAATTTTGACTGACTTTATACCTTAGACCACAGGTTCTCACACTTATTTCGACCACCGCCCACTTTGAGATTAAAAAAAATCTAGTGTTTGTAGTGATTTCAATATTTGTGGCGGACGGACGTTAAAGTCGAATAAAATGACTAATTAATTAATTTTAAAACTTGATTTTTATTTTTCCATATGTTTTTTTGACAAACGACATATAATTGAGAACGACGTAACTCGAGGTATACCTGTATAATTGATTTTAAACATTTTCAATTATATCATAGCTTTAAGACAACTTTTATGTGTGAGGATTGTTTCTTTATGGACATAAAAATTATCATGTAAAATGTTCAATACTGCAAATGTGATGTGGTCAAAATTATATTTTGACATAATAGTATAATAATAAATCCTGAGAAATTTTGTACTAATTGTAGTATGCAAGTGTATGAAACTTGGAAACATGTACAGGTAGCCCTCGGTTTACACTGGCTCAATTTACACTGGTTCACAATAATGCCACTGCACAATTCGCTGTTTTGCAGTGTAATTCTCCAATTTTCCCTATGTCAGACTGATTTTTGTTTCAGTGTTGATGTATTTTCTGAGCCATGACATTGTACATTCATTAAAACAAAGATTTCTATTGAATATATTTATTTTTTCTGTTTAATATTATTGGGTATGTATACGTTTGCATTAAATTAATATTAAAATACTAAATGTTTAGGTCCCCACAACCCAAGTTATTAAACTTAATAGTAACTTAATAATCAATAAATGTCGTTCGAATCCAGAGCACTAATGAACGTGAATAGTTCATATCCCGTATCAGTTCGTTCAGGAAAACACCTTATGATGCAGTAGCACTTCTGGCGATCACAAATTATCATTAGTGAGACGAAATCTACTTCTCATTGGCCAGACAATATCTTCTTCTTGTCAGTCAGACGATATCTAACTCTCCTTAGCGAGACGAAACCAACTTCAATTTTTCCGCCCAAACTGACCTTATATATGCGCTATGGCGGGCTGGCGGTTGACCAATCAGTGTCTCCGCTCGTCTGTAGCTCTATTTCAGGTTAGTGTGTCATTTCAACTATGGAAAGTTTGACGGATGAACTTTGTGAGTTAGACAATAATTGGGAGTGAAGTGCAAATGTAAAAAGGAGCATCATTACATCTATTCGACCATATTCCAAAATTATTAATTAATGAAAGAAAACAAAAATCTAAACAATTACAAATGGATACTTTTTCCGAAAAATGTAAGAGATCCAAAACTTTGAAATATCATTTGATTTTCTTAAGACTTTTTAATAAAAACATTTCATTTTATTTCATCATAAAATACATTTTTAAAGATTAAATTTATAATATGTGTATTTTGTATTATATTGTATTAATAAATAAAATTATTTGCTTATTTTTCACTTATGTAGAACCTAACCCTATACCTCACTGTAAATATGGGTTCATTTTAAGCTGATTCGATTTGAACCGTCTTTTGTAGGAACGGAACTGCAGCATAAACCAAGGACTACCTGTATTCTTTCATTGTATAAAATTTGAAGCAAGCAGGATAAAGTATTTGACAAGATTTAAATCCTGGAAAGATATAATCAATATATTGCATTTTTCAAAAAATGATTATTATTGTGTATTTTACTTTGTATTATCTTGTATTACATTAATTTATTATATTGCACCAACATCAGCTTTATGTAACCCTTTGTAACTAAGGTTCAAACTATAAAGAATTGATTGATTGAATATATCAACAGAACAAACTACCTTATTTTTTCAGTGATTATACAATGATCTCTGAAATTGATTGAAAACATTTGCTTTTTATGTTAACTATTAGTTTGTAGAAGATAGGTTTTTTTTTTGTATATTGTAATGGTCCTGAAGATGAGCATTACTTGCTTGAGAGTGCTACAACACAAATATTACAAATTCTTAAAACTCCAGGGAAGTTAGTACATTTTAGTTTAATGTTACTTATCAAAATGTAATATGTTGTTACCATTTATCAGTTTTATATCTAGAATTACTGTGAAATAACTATTCAAAAATACTTTTTAAATTATAACTTGCTTATAATAATTTAAGATTTTATCTAAGATGTTATGATTTTTTTATGTTGATTAAATTTTTAAAAATATGCTAATTTATTTCTTAATTTTTTAATATTTAGAAAGTGATACCTGAAGTGGACATTAGAAATCACACAATTTCAGGAAATCTTTCCAAGTGCACACTAAATTTAGATAGAATTATTGATGCTAAAAATAAAACCATGAAAGAAGAAGAGTTAATTTATAATTTGTCAAAAGAAGAAATAAATGATAACAAATTTGAAGATACAGATTTGAAACAGTTAATAAAAAATATTAATATAAAAGAAATTCAAAAAGATAGAATAACAGATTTTCCACCAGGATTGGAGATTTTTGATTATAAAAAGTGTTACAGGTATTTTTGTGTCTTTCATGGACTAAATTTAGAAAGCTGTGGATTTCAAGCAAACAAAGGAAGTACTTTTGATAAAAAAATTGCTAAATTATCTAGTACAGAATTAAAGGAATTGATTACATTTGGAGTGTTTCAGTGCCAGTTAAGTTCCATGAAGTGTAAAGAAGCATTTTTGGAATATTGTTTTAAATTATTATCAGTGCTAAACAACAATTTATTGAGTTTTGCTTGTACAGATATATTTTGGTATTATATTAAAACTTCAAAAAATGGGCATATTTATTGGTGCCCATCTATGAAAGATATATTAACAGTAATATTAAATTATGGTAAGAAATGTTTATATTTCTTAAAAATTTCAAATAAATTAAAAATTATTAAAACTATAACATAAATTAAGATTTTTTAAATTTTAACTAGTAAATTATAATTAAAATAGATTAAGTATGATTTATTATTTAAAATATAAGAAAATCTCAGAGCAGTAAAGTATAGTCAGTTGTGAAATTAAAAATTGAGAAAATAGAAGTTATAGAAATTAAAATAAAACATTAAATTTTTCCTCAGTTAGTTTATTTTGTGTAGACTAATACACATTTTGTGTTAAAATTTTTAATAATTTCCTTAATTGACAACTGTTTAAATATTTCACTTTCTATGTAAAGTACGGATAAATATGATAATTTTGTTCAAGACAAATCAGATCTTAAATGATTTTTAATATGATTTAATGTTGAAAGATGATTCTCCTTCAGAATTTGATCCTAAGATTGGCATGTACAGAACATTCTAAGAGCAATATTTATATTAGGTAAGCTGGATATTAAATTCTGCTCCTTTTTGCAGCAACAGTAATTCTTGTATTGTTTTGCAATCCAGAGATAATTTAAAAAGATAAAAGAAAAAGATTATATTTAAAAAATTAAACAGTGCCTACATAGGGTCTACATAAAACTTAATGTGGCTCTGATCTCTACTATTAATAATTAAAATCTAAGTAATTTGGTACTAGAGGTAGGCATTAGACACTATCTCTTATTAAATTTAATAATTATAATTAAATTAATATTTATTAAATAGTATTATTATTGAAAACATCAAGCTTTGAGATGTTATAATTTTATTTGAGAATTACAAAAAATTTATTTGAAAAAGTTCCAATAATTCAGAGTTGTTTTTTGTTGGTCTCTTGAGTTTCAAAATAATGAGGTTTTACTGTATTTTGTTTCCTATGTCATCATAAGAAATTTGATTAAGGTTGGATATCTTTTATGTTTTAGTTTATTAATGAAACTCAGAGATGCTATGCTCTTCATCTGGACAACTAATAAAGGAAAGAATTGTGAAATCCGCGAATTTAACGCAATTGTTGAAAAGAAATGTAAACAACTCCGATAGAAAAAAACGCTCTTGGTGAGAATTAGATCAGAGGTCACCATTTGTTATAACAATTAGATGGGAAAGTTGACACAGGTGTCAAGAATGTGCTGTTAATGTCAACATTTGACGATCATGTGACTCCTTTCCCACGACAAACGAATAAAAGCTTGAGCCTCCGGAAGCTCAGGGCAACTCATCTTAGGAAGCTATACTTGGTGATAGTGCCACCTCAACTCCCAGACCTCCATACAGCAGACCTGATCCAGCTACACGGAGAAGAGACCAGTTAGAAGATACCAAGGACTTTTACTTCTTCCATACAGACGATGCGCCAACTCTCCTTTACAACGAGAGGTATTTAGCGGATTTAGAATTTGTAAAAGCTCTCTCTCTTGAACTAGCAAGTAGTCAACGACATAGTTATGAGATTAGTCGCCATTTTATGTGAATAGAATAACATAACCGTATTTAACCTTAGCTCTGTTTTCACCTCCTGTAACTTAGATTGGTTATTCAATAAATGTTTTATTTGTTAAGCCTGTCTATCATTGTTCTAAGGACGTCTGCTGGCTTACCGATGCACTCCCCACTCACTTTTTGTCCTCCTAGCCATCCAGAACAACAACGTGAGCTGTCCTTGCAGACTGTTGCTGAGTAAGTGGTCAGAAGGGATTAATTAACCCTTGGCCCACGGTTCTCATAGAATAGTGTTGAGATCTAAATAATAATTTAGGATTATATTCTACTCAGAAATTTCAAATTCAACACACATTTTCTAAATGTGGATAAATTAGATACAGAATTAAACATTTGAGAAGAAAAGGTTGATTATTGATTGTTTGACAATTTAAAATGGAATTAAAATAACCCTAAATTAAACTAATAATTTGTACCTCAAGAAAACAATTATTTAAAATAGTTATTTTTAAAGAGTAACATTGATTTTACTGTTTAAGTTTTTGAAGAGTAATTATGAGTATAAATTAACTCTGAGAAGATGCAAATTTTTTTGTTTTTATCAGAACCATTTGAGTGCAGATGGTTATGCTAATTGAACAATAAATAAATTAGATTAGCAAAGGAAGGCACTGAACCAAGTATATACAACAATAAAAAATCTCTAGTTATAAAATATCAATGACAAAAACAATCTGAATCATCACTGATTAAATTGTGATTTTTATAATTTAGAACAAACTTGAACTTGATTTTCTTTTATATGTGCAAAATATATTCCTCAAAAGCAAAATTGCAACATCATGAAAGAATGTGCATAGCCACATGCACATTGCAGGACTGGTAGATGTAAGAGACATATGCAAATGATTAAAAGAACAAAGATATAGATATGCAATAGACACCTCTTTATTTAGTAATGAATATGGCCCCCAATGGCAGCTATATAGGCCACTGTATAGCGAGGCATACTATCAATGAGGTGATTAATGGTTTCCTCTTGTATCCACTGTGGCATGTTATCTATGGTATGTGATGGTGATCCCCAGTGCATCTCATATCAGACCAGGTCTCACAGGCATTTGATGGGAGATAGATCCAGCAAGGCTGATGGCCAGGGAAGGATGTGAATTCTGTACAGGCTGGTGAGAGTTTGCTGTGCATTCAGACATTAATTAACACTGTGTTGGGTACAGCCTGAACTAGTGGCTGAACCACGTGCCCACAATTCATGTGATGTACTTGTCTGCTGTCAGAGTACTGGAAATGTGCACCAGGGCTGTCCACTGATCAAATATGATACCTCCCCAAACCCATCATGTTTGGTGAAAAGGGCTGGCACATTGCATTCTTGGAATACCATCACACCCATCCATCATCACTGTCATTTCTCCACAGACAGAAGCAGGATTCATTCATAAACAATACCCAATGCCATTCAGTGGTCCAGTTGTGATGTTGATGACATCATGCCAAGAATGCAGCCCTATATTGAATGAGTGGTTGGTTAATGTAGCTTGACTTCATGCAACTTGTTGCTGTGCATGCAGCTTGACTTCATGCAACTTGTTGCAAATGGTTTGGGTGGACAGATGCACCCATTGACAGTAGAGGTGGCATTGAATGTCATGTGCCATGGCAAACAGGTCCCAACAGGTAGCTGTTTGCTATTCAGCAAATTTGCCAGTCTGTGTGCTCTGTAGTGTGCTGATGTGATCCACTCCCTCTTTGGCATGTTTGCAGATGTTCCTGCTTCCATCATGTCACACGTTACTGGATGGTATTTATGTCTTCCCCAAAACACTGGCAACTGCACATTGACAAACTGAGGGTATACAATTCCAGGATACTGTCTCCTTCCCCAGCCATTAATTGGTGGTGTTTGGCTTGCTGTTATTTCTGAAGCATTGTCTATGTTTCTTCAAAAGTTTGGTTGCCATGAACTGTTGCTGATAACATTTACAATCCAAGTCAGCTGCTGGCCTTTATAGCCCAAAACTTGGGTACCACATGCATATGCAAACTTAATCATTTGCATATCTCATCTCTAATGGTCCTGCAAATTGCTGTTGCTACATGCATTCTGTTGAGGTGTTGCAATTTCACTTTTGAGGAGAGTATTAATAAAAACAAAATGAGCACAATAATATATTGTTTCTAGTTTACAAATCCTATTTGTAAATTTTTTATTTGATAAAAAAATATAATATAATTTGTTTTTGATTTATAAATTAAATTTAACCATATATCAGTTTTCTTTAATGAATGGATAGTTCATAATTAATTAAATAGAAACACCCTTTTCTTCTCCAGTGAAGTTTCACACTTTTCTATGTTCACATGCTCCATCATTTTTGTGATACAATGAAAAGATTCACTTGGTTCGATAGCTTAAGTTTATCTGAAGTTTGTTTAGACCAGTGTTTTTCAACCTGTGGGTCGCGGGTAAAAGAAAAAGACAAGTGCTTGTAGGTCCTACACTACATTAAAAAAACTACAATTTCAGAGAGAAGCTGAAAATCCTGATCCTAAAAAGAAGAAAAAAAAAAAGTCAACGGCTTCCTCCTGTGCCCAATGTTACAATTAAAGGAAGTGTTTCATACTTTATCTGTGTTAAGTTATTATTGATTCTTATGAAATTTTTATTTTAATCAACAATAATTTGTCTCAACAGAAAGAAAATTAAATACGTAGTTTTTAAAATCACTGATATAGTTTTAATATGGCCCTGGGGGGGTCGCCAGAATTTTTTAACTTGTAAAGGGGTCACGTATTCAACAAGGTTGAAAAACACTGGTTTAGACCATGGCATAATGAGTCTGTGGATAGATGCAGTTTTTACTCTAAACTGGATTCAGCAAAGATCTTGTCTCTGCTCCAATTCAGTGAATTAACAAAACAATAAAATAAAAAATAAAAAAAAGGATTTGCATATGTTGATAGCACACTTGCTGCACATTTCTTCTTAGTATTACCAACTATTTTAATAAATAAAATGGTCTGCTAGATCTTGTGTTGTTTTCAAAAATAATGTATAGTTTGTTTTTAATTGACTGACCAAAATAATTCAATAAATTTTTATTTTAACAAGAATATTTTAGAGTTGTTACAAAATATTTCTGTAAAAATTTCTAATGTGCTTTTACAGTCTATTGAAGTTCAATAAATTCAATGACTAATAATTTATTAATATTGTCACATCTCTAAAAATAAATAGTAAATTTTTCATTTTTTTGGGTGTAACATTATGCCACAATATTATGCTGTATATTAATATTTAAAATCGTATTATTCCAATTTTAACAATCTGCTGCTAAAAGTGGCATAATATGCATTAAATAAGCATCGGATGATATGATGCCATTTAGTATCTGTTGTAGTAAGTGTTAGATGAAATGTGAATACATAGTGTATACCAATAAATACTTATTGTAATTTTTTTATGTTTGATTTACTCACAAAATAGAATATAATCTTAAAATCAGTCCAAGGA